TTTCTTTCTCTTCTAAACAATTTCCTTGGTTTTCTACCACCCATGCATAAGTTCTACTGTTCTTAAAAAAATTCCCATACCTAGTGTTATCCTCCTTACACCTTCTTTTAGTATTTGCCATTAATGTCTACCAGAGCAACACTGGGCTTAGGAAAGGGTAGGGAAGTCTAGCCATGATCCTTTTAGTGGTCATTCTTGAAGAAGAGCCTGGCATTCCCAGAACATATCTTAATTTTGTTTTCCTTGGGCTTGCAAGCTCCTGAACCCAGAAAAATCTGTTCTTCAGTAGGTAAGTTCATTAGTTATAATTGTCCTTTTCAATGTTTTGGGTGAGTTGGAGGCCCCTGGGAGAGGGAAAAGGACAACCCTTGACTTGGCAATTTGATGCCTCTCACTGTGGAATTAATTCCCTGGATAAACTGGCAACAGGACTAACAGGTTCACTGAGAGCTTTGGCCCTACCACACAATGTACTTCCTACCAACGCACAGGTTCCAAGGCCCTGGGAGGACACAGGAGCAGGGGCAGGAACTGTGCGCAGAGTAGGATTTCACAGCCACCAGGGGTCTGAAACAGACACTACACACGGCAACAACCCTCCCCAGAGCTTCAGAGCCAAGATGGCTGACTCCCACCTGCCCTTCCGTGCCTCCTCACAGCCCCCAAGCAGCCCTCCTTAACCTTCTTGTTAAGTCTCTTGAAATGACAACACGTAGAAACCACTGGCTGCACTTGAGGCTAATTTTCAAAACCAGAGGAGAGAGCCTTACAGCTGTCATGAAACCTTTCTATGGTCTGTCCTGCCCCTCCTTCTCGGCACAGCAAAGCAAAGAAGGTCAATGGGCAAAGCTCCTGGGACTCTAAGGATGTCCAGTAGTTGTCCACTGGAATGCAGAGACGGGGTCAGTAAGGGAAGGCAGCCTAGAACAGAACAGCATGAGTGAAGATAGGAGAAACTGGTAGGCATGTGTTGTGGTTATAGCTGGCAAGGCTCACTTACACAGAGCCCCCAACACTGGCTTAGTCAGGTTTATCTCTGCACCTCACCAAGAGCTGCACAGGTTATTGCAGCTCACTGAACTGACAAAATCCCTGGTGCTTCCCTGATGTCTTCATACGAAAGCAAAAGAACGGATGGAGGTGGACGGTTCCTCTGGCCGTTCCTAGTGAAGTACACCTGCTAACTTCCGTGCCCTGTGTCCTCCCCCATCTTTTGACTCAGGCTTAGCCACACACCTGATTTTTACTGGTAGGTCATCAGCAAGTGAAGGTTTCAGAGACAGTGGATTGGTGCTTATTTACTCTGCTGAGAAGACACGGAAGAACAATACAAGGAGGCCAAGTGAAAAGAGAGAGAGCTCGGGAGTCTGTGGGGGGGGGGGGGGGGGAAGAAAGGCTAAGCCATGCAAGCTCCCATCTGAGCTTCACCCAGAATGCACAGTCATGGAGAAGCAATAAAATGTTAGATACGTAAAAACCATTAGTTTTGGAGTCTATCTTCCAAGAGTGGAAAATTAGGCTGATCATTTTTTTTTTTTTTAATGGAATTGTCAGGACAAAACAATAGCACGGCATAGAAGGGCCTTGAAAATGGACCAGTGCTGTTTGTTACTCAGGCAGAGGTCAAGCTACATGGCTATTTGCCACTCTGTAGCCCCTTAAGAATCCACCTGAGGGACTAGAGAGATGGTTCGGAAGTTAAGAGCGCTGGCTGCTTTTCCAGAGGTCCTGAGTTCAACTCCCAGCAATCACATGGTGGCTCTCAACCATTTATAATGAGATCTAGTGCCCCTTCTGGCATGTAGGCAGAACACTGTATACATAATCAATAAATCATTTAAAAAGAATGAAAGAATCTGCCTGAGGTCTCGAGGGCCACCTTTCCTGGCATATGGAGATCGTCACAGAAAAACCACAACTGGACACAATGCACAGATGAATGGATTGTGGGGAGCATAGCCCCTAAATCACAGCTCCTGCCTGTGTATGTCAGGGACCATTTCAGAAGGGGGAGCTGAAGGATTCTAAGAGACAGAGTACCAGGAAGTGCGCTGTGAGGGAGTCTCTCCTATAATTAAAACTCTGGAACACTGGCTATACACTTGAGGTAGAGAAGCCAGAGTTAGAGAGAAGGGAGAGTTGCTATGGTAAGGGGACAGGGCTCCAGGGTGCCAGTATCCAGAGATGACCAGCAGAAGTAAATTACATGAACCAATCTTCTCAAGGGACCCAGTGATGAGTCACCATGCCAGTTCATCCATCTGCAACGAGAACTATTTCAAAGCACAATGGTAGTAGCTTCTCTAGGGTGGGAAGGAAAAGATCGCGCTGGACAAGTAGATTCCTTGAATCGATAAGGTTTCATATGAGCAAACAAGGGGAAAGGGAGGAAAGGGCAGAGAACTGGGAAGGGGGGGGGGGGGGGGGGGGGGGGGTAGAGCATGGGAGCCTGCTGAGGGATGCCAGTGCTGAAGGGCTGGCACACTGGCATCTTTTCTTACACTTGGAGTCTTCATTTGTTTCTGGCTCGCAGAGTTGTGGGGAAATTAAGTTAGGGAGGTATCTCCCTCTCTGAAAAGATCACAGGAAGGGAAGCCCTTTTAGTGTGTGTGTGTGAGAGAGAGAGGGGGAGAGAGGATTAACACGGGTGCCTTCCTATGTTTTTGAGACAGGGTCTCTCACTGACCTTGGAGCTCACCAATTGCCTAGGCCAGCTAGTCAGTGAGCCTTTAGCATTTTCCTATCTCTGCCTCCCTAGAATTGGGGTTACAGGCCCCTGCTGCTGCTCCTGCCCCAGCTTCAGGCTTTTGTCTCCTCCCTCCCTCCCTCGCTCCCTTACCTCCTTTCAGTTCAGTTTTTACGCAGGCTGGAGATCCACACTTGTGTCTTCATGCTAATGACCCAAGTACTTTTTATTCACTAAACCATCTCCTCACCTCCCAGTGAGATCCCTCTCTTGTGGACAACAAAACAGTTGAAAGATTTGGGAAGTTAAAAAAAAAAAAAAAAAAAAAAAAAAAAAAAAAAAAGCCATTAACTTCAAGCGCAGCGCAGGCACTTCCGGGACTCTGCCTCCAAGAAGAAACGCCCAGGCAAGCTCTCTCTATTATGTTCTTGAAGTCCAGGTTAGGTTTGCTTCCGTGACGGTCTTCACAAGGTGCGCTCTTGACAGCTAAGACCCGTGTCTTGTCCATCTTCTAATCGGACCCGGAACAGTCACTGGCATGCAGTGATGCTCAAGCAGGTTTGAGCCTGAGGAAATGAAGGTCACGAGAGCACCCACCCTCCTACTAGAAAACTTCTGCTCAGGGAAAGACCTTATCTTGAGGTGCCTTTGCCCCTGGCCAGCGACCCTTCAGGGTTTTCTGAGTTTTAGGTTTCTCCTCTCTTCTCTCTTGTCCCTCACTCTTCATAGTGAGGCACATGAGTGGTGAGTGTGTGTGTGTGTGTGTGTGTGTGTGTGTGTGTGTGTGGTGTATATCCCACTAATGTTTGCACTGCAGAGACCTGATCTATATTCGCAAAGGCCTTTGTGTCTCCTTGAAAAGCCTCTTGTTGAACCTTTCCCACAGGTCTGAGGCGATGGCTCACTGCAGTCGACCACTAGCCAGACATGGGTAAGGCCTGAAGTTCAATCATCAGTACTGCAAAAACCACCACATAGGCTGGCCTCCCCCAGGCAGGGGGACTTAGTGGTGGCTATAACGTGTGTAAAAAGTGTAAAGGGGGAAAGAGGGCTGTGGGGATACTGTTGTTCGTGGGTCTCACCTCTCCTGACAGGTGAGGTTGAGAGCCTGCGCCCCGCCCCATCCACTCTGCCGGGGCGTTCCACCCACATCTCGGAGCCCTCAGCACCAACGTCAAAAGACTGGCCCCTCCACCAGCTCTAGAAAGGCCAGGGGGAAATGCTGCAGCCACAAATGACAAGATTCTCTTAACCTTTTAACAAATATTTATACAATTATTTTAATTGACATTCAGTCCTTCTTGGTTGGCCCAATTACAGCGGGGCGCAGGGTCTTGCAAATACTCCCAATATCCCATTCAGTGTGTAAATCTCTAGTGCGGTCCTTCCGTTGCAAGCAAACGTCTATCTCATTAATTCCCCCCTGACAGCGTGGGAGACAGTTCACTCTAGCCTCTGTCTCCATTCTACAATTTTCATCCTGTTTAGAATTCAGGGAAGTATTTCTTTTTAGGTGCGATGACCTAAAAGAGTGGGGCTAGAAAGAAGGCACCAAACTAGTCAGGGACCAGGAGAAACACTTACAAGTCCTTCGCTTTAGGTCTATCCAAATCGGGGTTTCCTAACCTGGGGGGAAGGGGGGAGCGGTGTCAGGACCTCATCCCAGGGGGTCTAATTTAAATCCGGGATGCCATCTGGCCAACTTTTTAATTTTTTTTTCCTTAAAAATTACCAATTTATTTCCAAGATGAAAACCGCTGGCACGAATTCCTTATTGCTTTGCTCACTCTGGAAAAAACAAAACACACACACACACACACACACACACACACACACACACACACACACACACACACACACACACACAAACACACA